AAAAATATCACTCTCACCATTCCGACAAAGACCTGATATATTCCGTTGAAAATTCCGATATTTCAGAAACCGAAATTCCGACATTATTCGGAATTTTCAACAAATTAACAATACAGGGAAACAAGGCCCATCCGCCTCTGCAATCTCTCCCCAAGCAAACACAAAGAGCGACCAGGAACAGATTTGTTCCGAATGAGAATGAGAATGCCAACGACACTGTTGGATCCAATGTGTGATGAAAAGGTCAGACAAATCACTTTCCTCATTTGATTGTTAGTTACTGACGTAGTAATAGCTACTAAATAGGTTATCACTGCAGAACAGCAACAATGGTCTCTCAAGCTGTTAACAGCTTCTACCTGTTAATTTGCCAATATTGCATGTTCGTAGCATACTAGCATAGTGCTTCTGTTATGTAAATCAGTCAACAAAAAAATAAATTCAACATACTATCATACAGTTGTTACGATAAACTATCAAGGATTCAAGGGCAACCCCTTTTGGTCCCTTCCAATATGGTTCTCCAGTGCAGCTGTGCAGTCACCACTCACCATTAAAGAACAAATATTTTGCAGGAAAACAATAATAGGTGACCACCCTGTTTTTCAACTTTGTAAACACGCACACACAAAAAGCTGACCGCATAGCCCACACATCCTATTTGAAAGATACCACTGCATTTCAATAAGATCTTCATCTTTATTTCTCACTCAACTCTTTCATATTAGATTCTCTAGACCTTTATATATTGTCAATTTGTCATTGTGTCTTCTTTCAAAATGTTCAGACATGGTTGACCACTTGACCTAATAGTCCAATACTGTGGACTCACAGAGAACACATGCCAGATTCATTTGCCCGGTTATGCAAAAAGTTCAAGTTTTGCTCCGTGATATTACTATCAGCATTATGTACACGTTCTAATCGATTTTTTCAGATATATCCTAGAGCTTTATTAATAACCTCAAAAATGAAACAAGGGCTTTAATTATCTAATTGGTACATGTATGTTCACAGTGTTTTGATTTCGACCATGTTTTTAGAGGGTAGAAAATGGGCTACGAATACATATATACATCCTTAAGGGCAGAGGGCTGGCAGAAGGGTAAACAGCTAAAATTTGAATTTGATCAAATTTCAATACAAACAAAGTATAGCTTAAAAGTCAGTAGCTGAGCAAATTTTGCCCTTTTAACTGTACTTGTATACTAGATTCTAGTACAATGTTCCCTTTTCATTTTTTTTTCCCTAAAAATGCTTAATCTGAGTCTGTTAACCAATTACAGATTATTCTTCATGTGGTAAGAGGCACACCAAATTTCAAGGGTTATCCAAAAGAAACTCAGCGACCTTGCCTCTAGCCTGAGTTGCCTCAGAGACAGAGTCTTCAGTTATGCTAAATGTGGAATCCACTACAAAGCAGGACATCAAGCAATACCACATCCAAAACCCTCTAAGTGGAACATTTCCAAACAACGAAGTATCAACACTGATGCACCATATACAAAGTCATCTCAAGCATAATTGATCGATGACAGATGAATTGATCATGTCGAATTCATCTTATCGCCTATCACATCTGAGATAAAGGAGGTATTTGAGGAGTGTTCCTCTACAGCTTCTTCAGGTCTACTGAAGAGTGACACTGTTGAGAGGAGCGAGCTGTTTGTGGCATCTCTGCCGCCATGGTCCTTGTCCTCCAAGAATAAAAGCAATTCCACTATAAAGTCAAAGGTGCTTCTCAACTTATTCACATGTGGAGTAATTGACACGAACGATTCGGCTATGAAGATAATCAATAAAAACTCTTCAAGTCATTTTATAGAGCAGATGAAACTTGTGGAGGAAAAATGTTCAGGGGCTCTGGGAGGATCTCACATATTGTTCGCAAACAACAAGAACCACCACAAGATAACTGCAAACTTTGGTAAGATCAATGACAATAGAAAATAACCAAGGCTAGTGTTTGAAACTATGACAAATGTTCTATTGTGGTTTTCTCCAGGGGAAATTGTTTTAATGGAGTGAAGAAAATAAAGGAATCATGCCAATTCTCAGTCCACAATGCATTATCAGCCACTGAGTCACTGACAAGCCTTTCACAGGGCCTAGTTGCTTGTAAGTAAAAAATGACAATTTCTGGCAAATTAGTAACATAAAAGTCTCCACGATTTGCTTGCGCACTAATTTAATGGATTCTAACATGATACATGGTCAGTTGTAGTCATAATTATTGTTCAAGTATATATACAATAGTTATTAAAATTACTATATGAGTTTATCTGATATTAAAGTTTTAATCACCCAAAAGAAATTATCTGCTAATTTCTTGTGCGAATGATCTTATAGTGCTTCTAATCTTTCACAATGTTGATGAGCGGTTGCAGACAATGTGGAAAAGGTTTCAAGCCGGAGAAACTACTCAAACATATTCAGCAATGTAGAGCTTTAAGAGATCAAAGCAAGGGTTACAAAAATGCTTCTCCTATGGTTGAAAGGACGTCAGCAAAGTGCACATCAGCAGAGTATGGTCCTAGTTGATCTATTTTTAAGTTTAGCATCAGCTTCATACTCTTCTCGAGCTTGTTGCAAAGAAAAACATTGAAAATAGAGCTCTTTTTTTTGTGAATATATAATGAAGATGGTTTTGTTATACATGTGGGATGTGATTGTAGAGTACGTACCATCTTAGCAGCATCTGCTGACTCTGCATTTACACTCAGATCCATCTCCCTTTGAAGTAAAAGTCTGGTCAGCCTGCGCATAGTTTTTAAAAATGGTCACAAATCAAAGGCACTTTCGTAGCGCAGGAATAAATAAATTACGATAATAAGATGCAATCCAAATTACATGCAGGGAATCGTTCAATCCTTTGGAGCGCTCCACTTCAGTGTTCCAATGTTGAAGTTAATAACTTGATAAAGTGCAAGACCTGCAAAACTCTCATCCTTCAATTTGTTGTGTATGAAAGCAAGAAATTAATGGAAAACAGAGACAGATTGGTAGGAGTATGCAAATCAATCACAATCATTAAAGTCACAATCAAAATAAAAAAGATAGGAATTGACTTCAACTTCTTACAAGTTATTGGATAGAGTAAGAGTATCTCCTCGTGCTTCACTCCAAATGACAGGTAGCAGCAAGCACCTGCTTGTATTTATACTAACATAATAATCATACTCTTAGAGAAAAACAATTAAGGAAAAGTAAGAATATGAACCAAGAACTAGGAAGTCTGCTTATGCCATGAGACAGGGTCGAAAACAATTGTAAGGGGCAATATAAACAAATCCCTGTGCGCTGTAGATAAGCGATACATCGCTGAAACACAAAAGGCCAAGGAAAACTTCGAAGAAAATATAGCAATGTATCAGCAAGATATATCAGCATTATGAAATACAAGTATTGAGTATCGTTAACCCCTACGCATACCCGGCACATGATATTTTCGATGCTGCCCCCACGACAAGCTGCTATATTGGTTGGAATACCTTAGCCTCCTACAGTGATTTCTTAAACTCTCACCTCTAAGATCAGTCCTATTGGCAGTTTTTGGTGAGATGCTACCACTTGCAGCGTTAGTGGAACATGGAACCAAGACAAATCTTTTTATTTGCATTATTAGATTAACTATTTTTCTTCTACTTTCCTACAGTTCTGCCATGGTACCCTTCAGCTCAGCTTAAGCATAAAAAGAAATCCACATTCAACAAAACGCAAGTTTCTTAAGCCCTAGGATAGTACTTTTATTGTCTACTGAGATATACAAGATACTTGAGTATGCATTGATCTTTGGTATTCATATACTACACTACTGTTAAATTGTTAAACAATGACATACCATTTAATCTTTGTGATTATCCACAAACAATTATGATAATATTTGTTACAGTGAATGTCACATGCATTACAACATGAGAACATGCATATATCGAGAAAAATAGAGAATTTATATCCTAAGACCTGCAACACGTTACATCTCTGTTCGTTCCGTTGAATGACTGAGAATTCAAGTCTGAATCTCTTCTTCAGATTTTTTATGCTTCATCTGAAGATATTTATCACTTCTCGTAGGCTAATAACCTCTTCTCCCATCAAAACAAAGTTTAAGTATACTCATGTTAAGGCCCAGTATTAGTACGATATCAAGGAATGTGGCAGCATGTTACTACCTTATTATAGAAGTAAAACAAAGCAGGAAAATAATAATAACAATACTGGTGAAACTGGATACTCACGCAACAACTTTTAATTACCTTATTCAGATATATTTACCTTCTCTAACAATCCAAGGGCATCCCCTATTGATTTCATCAAACCCAGAGTGGACGAAATGCATGCAGAAAGAGCTCCTTCAACATAATTTCCACAACCACTATTGCTCTCACAGGCACCTGATTCTAGAAACCTTCAAACGCAGTTGACCCTAGAAATGTACTGCAACGCAATAAATACTATGGTTGAAGAAGAGACATTCACTGTTA